AATTCTTAAACATGCCAGCCCAGTCACTCTGTGACTTTTTGGTCTGAACAGAGGTATGCAGATCTTCCAGGCTGGGGTAGAATGCTATAAAAGATTACTTTCTAACTCTTCCATTTCAAAGAACCTGCAGTTGAAAGATATTTGTAACTGCATATGAAGTGTGCGAGAGTCCGTGTGTCTGTGTGAGCAAAAATTGAGATCTTGCAACCTTTTTGTTTTTTCCAGCCTCCATCAATTCAGAATTGCTCATTGGGGTCCTTTCCTTCTCTGATCTACTAATTCAAGGTTTCTCATTTTTTATTCATGAGTGCTCCCTCCCCCAAAGGAGACTTAATTTTATTTAAATTCTCCTTAAGAAAGGAGACTAGGAGATAAGTTTGCTTGGCTAGAGTCACACTTTGGAGGGAATAAAAGCCACTGTCATCTCTGATCTCTACTTAATCCATCTGGAGCCCTTTGTGGGCAGTGTCTCCCCGACTGAGGATGGGAGCCTTCAATACAGGCATCCAGCAGGCTGACCCCAGGGCCTTTGTCAGCACCAGCCACCTCCGAGTTGTGCTTTCCTCGCCTGGCTGGCCTGGCCGAGCACTGAGTGGGAAGCAGGGAGACCTGAAGGCTAATCCCAGTGTCGCTGAACCCGGCTTTAAATCTGCCGCCAAGTGAGAAGTCTTTGATTCAAGCGTGCCGCTCACTGTTTGTGTCCCTCCTCTGTGTCGCTGGTTTACAGGCTCTGTGTACTGGATCTGTGCCTTCTCAAGCTGCTTCCTTAACTCGCTTCCAGTAATGCAGCCAATTTTCAGGGCCTCCGACTTACACATCAGAAGCAAGGACACACAATGAAGTGCAGGCCTGACCCTTTCCTCCATAGCTGGAGAGGGGGACCAGATGAGGCTGGCTGCCCACCCCGTCCCGCTATTAGACTTTAGGCCTCCTGGCCTTAGATTTCTTATCCCTCCTACAAAATGATTGGCAACCCCCCCCCCCGCCCCCAATTTATTTAGTCAGAAGCCTAGAGTTGCACAACCAGAATAAAGCATTCCTTCCTAATGATGGCCTAGGAAGGTGTGCCCTGGTCTGGTACAGTCTCACAGGATTAGTCGTAAGGACGTCGGTCTCAGTGTAGTGTGAAGTCACAGGTGAAGTCTAGATCTCTGGATAGTGGGGAGAGAGGAATGGAAGAACGGGACCCATAAACTGGGGCTTCAACCAGCCTTTGGAGACAGAAGTCTGTATTATATAAGATCGTATCAATTGGGTCTTCAGCAGCTACACTTGAAAGCGTCTAATAAAAGCATCTGAACAAACAAATATGAAACCCGAGTACGATTTCAGCGAGGGTTGCTGGCTATGGAGTAAAAGAAGGGCGAGGGAGAGATACAGAGGACTCTGCTTTGGGTTGATGCTCACAGAAAGCGTCTGGATGTGACATCTTGGAAGCTGCTCCCTGCAGAGCCCCGTGTGGTACTGGGATGGTGGGGAAGGCTACCTTCTCGGGTAGTAGGATAGAGAATGGGCAGGGACCTGAGTGAGGCAAGGCCACGGGAGCTAAAGCATCACTCAGCAAAGGGCAGTGGGATACGAGGAG